GTTGCTCTTGGGGGGCCAGAGGAGGGGGACCACCCTGGGAGCACCCTGGCCCGGGACATAACAGGCGCTCAGTGTAAAAGGAAGGTGTTGGACACTGTAGATGCGTCACAGGGTTTCTAAAGCCTGTGTTGATTTCAGGGACAAGCAAAGCTCACTGGATCAAGACCCAACTCTGAGATTTATGGCTCCAGCCCTTCTGATCATCCCACCCCAGAGGCTTGGAGTGGCTCAGTCCCTGGTGCTCTGCGGAGGCACACAGAGAGGCTCAGAAATATTTTTGGAAAGAAAATCCACTATTGAGGAGGAAAAATACAACAGCGTTTGGGAAGTTTCAGTGTAAAAAATGAGAAACATCTGAATCAAATTGCCTTTCAAATTATGCCATTTTAAAAATTAAAGGGGAAAAAAAGCTCTGGGCCAAAATGTGTTTTTAAAGCTTTCTGGCCTCCAAAGTGTTAGCACAACAGCTAAAGAGGCTGGGAAAGAACCCACCGGCCACTCTCATGAGCCACCCCCGCCAGGTGATTCCGCTAACCTTCCCCCAGTCTGACCACAGTGCTGCTTTCCCCCTGGGTACAGTCCTGCTCTGCAAAGGTGTTTCTGTCACACATTGTGGCCAGGGAGGCAGCAACTCTCAGTGGAAACACCCAGCCCCTAGCAGGTCAAGCAACAGAGGCCAGTCGAGTCAGGTGACTTTCAAGGTCCCTCTGCAAAGAATTCCCGGCCCCAGACTGCAAAGCACTGGAAGGGAGCAGGCGCTGTTACCCCACTGGGCAGACGATGGAGCGGAGGCTTGGTGACAGGTGAGGAAACGTGTCCGGGGCCGGGGCAGGGGCCGGACACTTACACGCAGTATCAGTGGGCTGGGCTTTCAGGCCCAAATCACTCACAAACAATCTAAAAATCACGATCTAAAAGCAAATACAGGAAAGAGACATTCACCACAGGAGAGACAGGAGCCCCGAGCCCCAGACCCCGCTCTCTGTTAAAGCATCAGGTGGCCTTGGGCAAGTCCCTTCCACAGCTCATCTCCGTCTTACTTACAAACGGAGAGACTCTGACCATCCATGAATCAGACGTGCCTGCAGCTCCCCTCTGACACCTAGGACCTCCCGCACGTCTCTCCCAAGCTTCGCCTCTGGGGACTCCCACTTCCCTTATGTCCTACTCTGGACTTCACTCCTGTCTCATCCCTAACGGGACTGAGGAACCTGAGTGAGGCTGAAGATACTGTCAGTCATGTGCTGGTAGATGTTTGCCAGCAGGGTCTGGCTGAGGGGAGGAGTGAGCGCAGCCCTGATCTGTAGGGTTTGCCAACTTTCCTGGTGTAAATACTCTAACTACGGCTAGGTCAAGTTACCAGCCTAAGGTCACAGGTGGCAGAGTTGGAAGGAGGTACGTACACTTGGTTCTCACAAGTCGGCACAGGCTGCTTGCAGCACATTCCTGCCTCTCAAATATAGTTATACTCTCATAGAGGGTTCCAAAAGGCTGAAGGTCCTTAAGAACCAAAGGGATGAGTGTCCTGTATGCAAAAGGTACATCACCCTGAGTCCCAACATCTGGACAACCACTGCTCATGGTACCTCTATGTGCTGTAATGTTGTGGTAGGGGTCACATATAATATGCATCCTGCTTTTTCTACACTTAATATTAGAACATAAGCACATCTCCCCATTATCATAAAGCCTTGAAAAGCATTTTCCATGTCTACAGAATATTCCATTAGACAGATGTTCCACAGTTTGATTTATCAATCTCCTATCATTGAACACTTAGACTGGATCCAAAAATCTTCACTGTTATGAATAAATAATGTGGAAATGAAATCGTTCTGCCTAAAGGTAAGTTTACTCTTAGAACCAAAGCCCTACAATTCCAGTGGTGGGACTGGAGCACCTGGAACTGATGGTCATTCGTTGGGATCACTGGATGAGGGGTTAAAGCTGGCCTGGAATACAGGGTAAGCCCGCATCTGGACACCTGGCAGCTGTGGGTGGCCACAGCTCTGCCAGTTCATGGGATCTGGCCCTTCTGTCATTCCTCACCCCCGTGCCCCTGCCATCCTCAGACAGGACTCACCCCTACTCTGGACAGATGTGTAATACGCCATGAAACACTAAGCTTGTATAAGACCTCTTTTCCCTCTGGGAAAGCTGCAAACCATAGTGCAGACCACGGGGACAATCTCATGGGCTCTGAAGGGGTAAACTGGGGTCGGAAGAGTCAGGTGTCTGAGCAGGTGTTCACCCGCTCAGCGACAGTGGAACCAGCGTCATCACACTCCTACGCCAGCAAACAGGCCTCAGGCAAGCCCTCCTAGGACAGGATGGTTACTCCATCTTTACCAGAAATGACTCAGGGACGGGGACCCCTCTACAGGCCGTTCTCGGCTCCCTGTACCCCTACCCCCGCCCAGCATGCACTGGGCGGCACTGCCCCTGTTCCAGGCCTTTGTGCAGCCCCAATGCCCTCCTCACCCCATGTCCACACCAGCCCCGAGCCTGTGGGCTGAGCTCACCTCCTCAGGCCCCACCGAGATGCCCCTCCTCCAGCCAGCTCCTCGCCAGTGCCATCACCACTCAGCTCCACGGGAGATCCTCAGGCGCTGCCACGTGCCAGGCCCAGGATCAAGCACTGAGCTCTGGACCTGAGCACAAGCATCTCCAGAACTGAGAGGGCCTCGTGCAAACCACCTTGGGCTGCCTGGCACCTCCCTCCGTGCATCCATCTCGCCTGTCGACAGGTCTATGCCCCGGCGGGCAGTGGGGCTCACAGCAAAGACTCTTTGGAACCTTCTGGGGCTCCAGTTTGCTGAGTAAAAGAGGATTCTTGCCCACAGCACCTCTGCCGCCACTGGTAAGGTTTAAGGAAGACTCAGTGTCACGAGATCATACAGACTTTGAACAACATCTGCCTAAAGTCTTCACGACACAGATTAGGAAAATGACACGTGGAGAAGGGCATGGCTTGTCACCCCAGGACCCGGGATGTTGCTGCATGAGGACCCAGGCCAGCACCACCAGCCTCCCTCACCCCATATGCAGAACACAGTCGTCACAGTCCCCAGCACTGGGGGACCCACTCCAAGATGCCACCTGCTCTGCTCCCTGCAGGGACAGCTGCTTGCTTCCCTGACTCCAGGAGGGCCCTTCCCAAATAAGCTCTTCAGAGAGGGGTGCAAGGAGCAGGAGCCACACCTGACTCAAGCCTGAGAGCCTCCTGTCCTGGGGCAATTGGGCTGACAGGCCACGTCCACTCTCTGAAGGAACCTCACCAGCCAAGCACTCTCCTGGGGCAGGGCAGTGAGGGAACGAGGGCCTGTGGGGGTGAGCAGGGACGATGACTGGGGACGGGGTAGAGTGCGTCTGGGTTCCTCGGTGGAGCCGCTGCACCTCAAGCTGGGTGCCCCCCTCAACCCCCCCCCAACATCAACACCCACTCCAGAATCTGCTGTTACTGCACCACTGGTGATAACCAGGTTTGACACTACAGGGGCTTCCCCCCAATTGTGCCCTAATTACTTTAATTACTGCCTAAGTCTGTCCTCTGCTACTGTGACACAGCAGTAAATTGCACCGTGTGGCAATTCACCATCCACTCATGGCTCCACAGAGGCAGATCCAGGCCGGGGCGGGGACAGCTGAGGGCCCAGGGGTGGACAGAGGCACCGAGGCCTCAGAGGCTCATGCATCTCTGCATCAGGCAGAGGGACAGCTTCAGAAGTCACCATAGACCAGGGTGGGCCCTGACTCAGGGAGAAACAGACCACGTGCGGACACAGCCAGGCCCAGGACAAGCCAGCTTCGGAGGGGGACAGAGGTCAAGGGGCATCACGCAGGTCAGGAGGCCGAACGCCCGCCTCCCGGAGCAGGAAGGTTGGCCTGGGATCTCCCTCTCCTGATTTGGGCCACACATCCTGATAATGACCTCCAACTGAGAATCATGGGGAAAATCAAAACAAATGTAGTAACAACGATCTAGAGGTCCGCCAGTGCACTCTTGGAAACCCCGACTCCTACCCGCTCTGAGTGTCCTTCCAGTTTCCCCCGCTCTGGCCCTAAGCTGCACCCAGCATGGCCTGTGGAGCCACAGAACCAGCGTCGTCTGAGCACAGGTTAGAATTACAGAAACTCAGCCTCGCCTGACTTCCTGGCTGGGGGTCTGCACTTTGACAAAGCCCCCCTGCGACCTGGGTACATCAACTTGTCAGAGGCACCGCCAGCACTCACACCCCCACCCAGCAAAGGCGAATTTCCCCTGCTGCTCTCTGAGCTCTGCTTGAGCGGTGAGAGCAACAGGGCATGACTAAATGCACTTGAATAAAAAGGGGAAGAAAAGAAATCTAAGTCTCTCCATTCCTCAGAGACAGAAATAGGTTTTGTGGCCTCCAGATGGACTGCACAGACACAAGGGGAGGTCTCGCCTTCCCGCCAAACTTTCCCAACGGGATGCTGGCACGGACCCGTGGAAACCATAGAGTATTTCTCTTTGAGGCAGTAAAATGAGAGGCTGTGGCTGGTGGAGTCCTTCTGTTATAATTAAGTTGGCCAGAAATTCACCTAAGGATACTAAATTCCGTACCTGACCCTCTAATTACAGCCAGAAGGGATCAAGAGACAATTACTTTCCAAAATAGTCCTTGGCAGGCCAGAGGCAAGAAGCAGCCTCTCTGACACATCTCGAAGGTGCCAATGGAACGCACCCCAGGGCCACCCAGCAGCCCCACTCCTCCCTTGCCTTCCCTCTTCTGTTCTCAGGACCGCCCCCCACTGGCCGAAGCCCGAGACGCCCAGCACCCCGGGATGTGGGGTGGCCGGACCTCCGAGATCACCTGCAGGCGCCCGTCATGGTGTCTGGGATCCCCAGGAGCCGGGGCGCCCTCTTCGTCGCCCTCCATAAACCCAGCGTGCCTGCCCGATGACATCGGCCACCGGTCTAATGAAATCTGAACGGGCTAATGAAAAACACCCCACCAAGTATGCCGACCAGAAAGTACCTCCTTGAGCAGCTACCGCCGCCGCCGCCGCTGCTGCCGTGGCCACCGCTAGGGCAGAAGCCTTCCTGCCCGGGTCCGGGAAAGCGGGGCCCTCCAGGATCCCACTTTTGGCTTCCTTCTTCTCCGCGGCTGTGGCTGAGGCGGACGTCTCCATCTTAGCCGCTCATAGTCCTGGGTGGCAGTCCTAAAGGAGGAGACAAAGACACTCACCAACACTGCCCCCAGACCCAGCCGGGAAACGCCGACCCAGATTCACGGCCGCCGCGCGCTTCGAAAGCAACCAACTTCATTCTCTTATAATTGGGAAGGAGGGTTTAATTAATTTTGAGAATTATTAGTTCTGAGATTCCACTGGTCTTCTGAACGACCTCGCGGACAACCGCCGAGTGTTCTCACCGTCTTGTACCCCAGATTTTTCAGGTCTGAGCAACAAGTTGCTAGCCCTGTGCAAGGCAAGAAGCAGGAAGCGGCTTGAGAAATGAAGTCAGAAAGCAATGCCCAGCAACTCAGAATCACAGGAAAATAAAAATAAATAGAGGAACCATGACTTAGAGGTCCTCGAAGATAAGCCCTCATTCTGTTCCTTCCCTGCCCACCAGATCCACCTTTCAGTTATTTATGTGTATGTCTGCTCATTCATACATTCATTCATTCATTCATTCATTCAACAGATTTTTCACCATTTTTTCACTTGCACACTCACTATACTTTCAAGGCCCTATTATGCATCAAGCATCCTGCCTGGTGCTGAATGTACAATCCATGGAGTTTACATTCTACTTTGGAGGCAAGATAAAGAAGAACGGAAAATAAATGTGTATTTAATTTCAGCCAGTGAGAGGCAGCCTGTAAAAGAAAGCAGACGGCAGAATGCAGCAGGATGGGATGGACAGAGGGGCCGCTGCCTTGCCTCTCCTAGGAAGGGATGCGATGCCACCTGAAGGTCTGAGGGAGCCCAGGGCAGTCAGAGGACACAGGAGGGAGCCACGGGCCTGGGTGGGGAAAGGCTGGCTGATCTGAGGAGCAGGTGAGTGAGGCTGTGGATGAAAACTATTACCAGCCATATCAGTAAGCAAAGACTGCTGTGGCCACCAAATCCTCAGCCGGTACGGCAACCCCCAACGGCGAGCGGAGGGAACTCAGGATGCAGACAAGCAGGCAGCTGGGCCTCTGCAGCTGCCCCAGCGGTGCACCTAGAGGGAACTCAGGATGTGGAAGAACAGGACACTGGCCCTAGATGGCTGACTGCACATCAAAGGAGTGATTTCAATGAGCCCAGAGCTTTGCACCTTCCCATACATAGAAAAGCGCTAAATTCCTTAACTTGAGATGTCTGCTTTTCTTTAATTAACAGTAATCTTTTGATGTTCCGACTACCTGGTCTTTGTTGCAAAAACTCGTATCTTGGCTTCTACCTTGCCACTTGGGAGTAGTCCCTGAGGGTGATCTGAGAGGCTGTCATCTTGGGCTTACGTCCTCAAAAGTGTCCACCGAATAAAATGCAACTCTCAACTTTTAGGTTGTGCGTTTTATTTCAGTCGACAAGGCCCTGGAGGGCTCTGAGCAGAGGAGGGAGGTGACAGGACTCACCTTATAAAGGGGTCACTCTGCAGGTGTGTAGAGAACCGATCTGGGGGGAAGGGGCACTACTGCAGTGACCCAGGGAGATGTTACGGAGGTTTGGGTGGAAGAGGCAGCAGTGGAACTTGGCTACACTCTGAAGACAGAGTCCACAGGTCTTGCTAGGGCTCGGATGTGGGTGTAACGGAAAGAAGAAAGAGTCATGGGTTAGGAGAGAGGGGATTCAGGGCACGGGAAACACTCCATATCCAGCTGGGGGTGGGTCACAAGCAAATGTTTTGGTAGGTGATGCTTCATTACTTGCAGATATTGCTAACTCAGTGTTCGTATCAAACATTACAGAATAGACATTTGAAAGCCAATTTTCTGAAAAGAAGGGGAAGTGGCATCAAAGATGGCCGAGCACTTGGACCAATGCACGGTGTTGCATTTGCTGGGATGGAGCACAGTGGGTGAGGAGCAGGTTCAGGAGCGAAGACCAGGAGCTCAGTCTGGGCCGCGTTAAGTCTGGGATGCCTATTAAGACACACAGACACTGCTGGAAATGCAAGTCAGAGCTCAGGGGGCAGGCAGAGGTTAGAGATGGGAAGATGGCAGCCACTGGGCAAGATCTCCAAGGGAGAGGGCGAAGGGAAGAAGAGAAAGTTCCAGAGCAAGACATGGGGCATTCCCACATTTCCGGAAGGGAAAAAAACATCAGCCAAGGAGATGAGCAGGAATGGACCCAGAAGGAAGAGAAGGTGGGAGTGTGCGGTCCGAGAATCCAACCCAAGAAAGGAATGCCTAGAGAGGAGGGACTCAGCTCCATCACTGGCTGTAAGAGACTAAGATGACCAGGCCCCAGAGCCGAGCAGATTCGGTTGAATGTCAGTGACCGGGCCCACTGTGGGCTCAGGGAGAACGCGGGAGAGAGTGAAACTGAGGCACATTCAGTCCAGAAGCTTTGCCAGAAAAGCAGCAAAAAGTGGGGCAGGACCTGGAGGGAGCCGAGGGGGTCCATGGGGGCTGTTTCACAGAGAAGGCAGGCAGGTCTGCAAGGCCAGGGGATGAGAAAGTTTCGGGAGAGCCTGTGAGTCTTGGGAGCATAGCAGAAACCAAGGACCGTGATCAGCTGCATCACTGAGGCCTCCAGTCTTACCCCCACAGGCCCCAGAATTTCACTTTTTTAAGTCTGCACAATACTCTCATGTTTTCCTAAGTGAAAAGTGTGAGTATGCAGGAAAGATGGGTGTGACACACAGAGACACCCGCAGTCTGGCTGGCCTGCCCAAAGCACAGCCTGAGTTCTGAGCCTCCCTATTTGGTCTCACAGACCAGCCTGTCTGGTTTCCACAGTCTTTTGAAACTCCCTGTCTAGAAAACCCAGGGTAGCTGGGGGACAGAGAAATCTCACCGAGGATTTTGGTGAGTTAAGGGGTTTCCTTTGGCCTCAAGATCTTGGGATCACTGCCTGATCCGTTAAGCCTATTTGTAGAATCTGTTCTTTGAGACGCTGGCTGTCTGAATGGCCACTAGCAACATCCCCTGGGCCAAGCCTGTCCTGTCTGCCCCCTTAGCCTGGCCCGGGAACCACCCCTCCCAGCCACATGTGTGGCACCGTCGGGTCACCTCCTCCTCCCCGCACTCCCCTGACCTCTGACCGGCTGCAGTCGCTCTCATTTCACCCGCTCTACCAAGCATCCTTCCCTTCCGGGTCCTGGGCACCCACATACCACCTCTGGTCCCCCTCCAGGTCCCCCTCTACCCTTTAGCCAGGCACCTACCCCCAAACCAAATCTCACCACATCCCTCCCCTGGCCAAGGCCTTGCTGAGCTCCCTTGGCCTTCAAGTAGAGTCTCCCTATGTCTGCCTGCAGCCTCCTCTCCCCTCTCCGCTTCACATCCAGCAGGCCTCTGCTCCAACTGTGCCACCCACCAGAAACCATTCACCCTTTCTGTGTAGGATGGACTCCTACTCTTCCTTCAAGGCACCTCCCCCCACCAGATGTCACCTCCTCCAAGAAGCCCCCCAACACCTCCCAAGTCACGTTCACTTTCGCTTCCAGATCCCTGCAGCGTCCCAACGCCCCGTACTGGATTCCTCATCGCCTCCAGGTCAGGAGTTGCTCCCCACTCGGGCTGGCACAGACCAACTGCTCAGGAATGCCTAGCAAAGGAAAACGGATCTCTGAGGCAGGAAATTGCAGCCCTTGGAAAGGCAAGTGATTTTGTGAACACTCTGGGTTTTCCTCCCAAGAAGCTCAGGTGAAGGAATTTAGGCCCAACTCTGAAACACACCTTGAATTTGGAAGTAAGGACAAAACTCAAAATAGTAGCTGGAACAACAAACCTTTCACAAGCATTTACCAGGTGCCAAGAACACTGCAAGAGTAATTTCCTTTAATCCCCACAACATTTTACATAGGAATAAACCAGTGCTCAGAGAGGTTGAGTAACTTATACAAAGACACACAGTTTAAAAGTGGCTGAGCCAGGCTTTGAACTCAGGCTGTCTGGCCCTAAAGCTATACTCTGGAGCATCACAGGGATCTCCCCCTTGAGGGAGGATCCTGCAGTGTTAAAGGATCTGCCCCAGAATTCCCTGGCAGCATTAAGGTGACTGTGTGGCAAACACTATCCCAGGAGCCTGAGAGGATTCAGCATGGGCCCCCGTCCTAATGTTGTATCCAAGGGGCAGACTGGTGGGTGGGGACCACCAGCCAAGGAATAGGCAAAAGCTGAGGTTCTGTCTGGGGCTGCTTGACAACACCATGGCCCTGAAGGTGGCACCGTCTGCTGAGGCTGACAGGATGGGGTAGGGGAGGAATTTGCAGTTGTACATTCATTCACTAACTCTTTATTCCATAATTCTTTATTGACAGTTAGCTCCTTGCCTCACACTGCAGTAGGCAGGGAGCTGGCTAGGCTCTGCACACACCTGAAAGGAACCAGGTGTCCTCCCCCTGGCACCTCTCCCCGAGCCTGGTCATAATCCACTATGCAGCCTCCTGACTCCCTGCCCAATTGTGACCTCCCGGGCAGGGCTGAGCCTTGCATCCCTGGGTCCCCAGGCCCAGCTGAGCAAGTGCTCAGGCCCCTCGCCAATGTAACAAGGTGGGCGCAGGGAACCAGGCCAGTGTCTGGAGGGCATGGGACTTAGTGGACCAGAAACCAGGACAGGACTCAAGGCACCCACAGGATCAGCGTATTTGACCAAACCCAGGCTCCTGGGAGGCATCCCCAGACGTAGATGCGGAAATTGAGGCCAATAACTCAGAATGCTTGCCTTCAGTGTCAGGGATGCCAAGGCAAAAAAGAAGCTCCAGAAGGGACCATGACAACTTCTACTAAGGGACATGAGGAGATTGAAAAGAAGAGGAAAATCCTCAGAGTCTTCTTGGAACACAGCAGCCGCAGTTCCCTCACAATGACAACTGTGCCCTGTTGAGCTGTCAGAGTGGAAGGCATCACCCTGATTCTTACAGAGGAAGAGGTGAGCTGCCTAAAGCCACTTTCCATGGAAGGAGAGGAGCCAGAGACAGGTCTGCTGGCTGTAATGCACCCCGAAGCTTCTGGGCGAGGCCACCCCAGGACCAGGTGAACAGAGTGTGGGGAGGAAGGAGA